CGACACCGGAGTGGACAGTCGTCCAAAAAAATCAACTGTATCCACCACAAGAGGAATAGTTCCCAAAAAAGAATAAATCAGAATCAAAAGTAACAGAGCTACTCCAACCTGCTGCCACCTTGAGCGGTGCAATTCTAGAATGTGAATTTTATGATTGTGATTATTATTATATTTGTTGTTATTCCAGTTCCCTTGTCTTCCTTGTAGTTTCTAGTTTATTTTCGTGTTTAGTATCTCTGTGTTTATTTATGTCTTGGTATTTGTTCACTTTGCACTCTTCTTGTTTACTAGTTTATTTTCTCTGTTCCTCCTCGTCCTGGTTCTCTTTCTGTGGTTTAGGTTTTGTTTATTTACGGTCAGGGTTTTTTATGGGTTCTTTGTTAATTATTAGGTTGTGGTGTTCTTCTATTTTCTCTAGTTCTCTGTTTACTTTCGTTAATGTCTATTTTAGGTTCCTATGTTTCTGTTATCTATCTCTGTCCTTAGTTTGGTTAAGTTCTGTTTCCCTGAGTTTTGTTATGCAGTGCTTACTTATAGTTTTGTTTTTGTAGTCAGGTCCTTTTAGGTTATGTCTTAGTCCAGCTCCTCTCATGTCCCCTTTGTGTCCTAGTTAGATCTCCTTAGCAACTATCCATTCTCCCTCAGTTCTGTGCAGCCTGGTTCGCACCTGTTGTCTATTCTCCTCTGATTTCCTGCCTTTGTGTCTCATTGGTTCATACCTCACTCCCCTCTGCTTATAAGCTCTCTGGTTCTCTTTGTTCTCGCTGGTTCCTCCCGTTTACTACCCTCACCTAAGTACGGTGTCTACTATGTTCCTGCAGAGTAAACTTTGTAAGTTTTTGGATTTTCGTCTTGTGTCTGTACCTGCAGTGTTTTTGCTATGTTTTGGATTATTCTTTGAATAAAGAAGAAGACTCCTTTAAACATGCTGCTGCCTAGCTCTTGTCTGTGCTTTGGTCAATTTAACCCTCAGAACTCGACAGTGAACAGATGTAATAATTACTTTTTATTTTGTAATTTTTGTTTACTGTGTCTATACATTTAATCTGCAATTTTGATGCAGGTGGCATACACTAGCGTCCACATTAACAAGCTGCCACTGGCTGGTTCATATAAAACTTTCAAGTCTTTTAGGTGAATTTTCCAACTGAATCACATAAAATCTGTAAAAACTACACTGAGATAAAAATAATGTTGGGGGAGCTGGGATCCCAGCTGGCTCGTCTATTACATTGAAATTAATTAATTCAAATTTAGTGCATTTCACAATCTGATTTATTTATTTTTTAAATAAAAATATCATTTTCCAATAAAGGCTTCTAACCTTGCTTTATAATCAATAAAGTTGAAGCTACTTAGATTATTTTTGGCTATCTGTGTTGCTATGCTGCTACTGAACCTAGGCTTCTTTACAAACTGACCACCTTTCCTTACTGGACTATTTTCTCCTACTACTCACCAAGTATGCATTATGTGCAGTGTGGTGTCAGTAACAGTCCAATACATTTGCAAAGTCTCTGTAATTTGTATTATATTTTTTAACTTGCTAGCAAAAGATAAATTGTAGAAATTATTTCAAGATTTTAGCACCCACTTCCTTCAACTCTGAGTTGCTTCGAACCATTTCACCCTGTACGCCACAATCTGATTTGGAAATTAAACTTGTTTGTTCCAACGTTATCTATTTAGTTGAAGAGTTCACAATTATGGACAGGAAAGGTAAAAAGAACAGAATCTGAGTCTGCCTTTTAAGTACCATTATAATGTTGCATCTCTTTCACTCCCCATACGTCGGATAAAACACAATGTAAAACTTCGTACAGCATCACAACTATAGGCTGCTGGCGGCTAAGAATATTGGGGTCTACAATATTTGCCTGCTAGCAACACGGGAACACACACAGGGTTCTGTTCCTCCTCACTACTAATAAAAAACAGCATCTCAGGGACTGGTTTCAAACTAAATCTACCTGTAAAATTTTTAAATGGGATTATTTATCAGCAGTGGTGTTCTATTTTCTTTCCAAAAGAAAGTACAATTGGGCCACTGTTTTTTGTGGTTTTTTGTCTCATTTTTGTCTTCCCAACCGTTGTTGGAAGCAGCAGGTGACCAGTCATACCAAACCTGGTTCGGCTGGAGGTTTTGTCCTGTTACAAATGAATTGTTCCCACTGTCACCACCTGCTTATTCAGGATGAGAGATTGCTGCAAAATCAACGACTCGATGCAGGCAGCTAAACTTTGTTGTATAGACATTGTACTATTAAATGACTGTGTGAATTTTAACTGAATTGTGTTAGGATTGTGATTTGACAGTAATTGGATCTAAATCCAAGAACATGTATGAATTGTACTGGGATGAATTTGATTGATGTAAAGTGAATTTGGACCAAATAGGAAAATATATAATTGGATATTAACTGGACTAGTTTGTCTTCTAAAGCACTTTGAAATATTTGTTTTGAATTGTCGATATATGAATAAATTAAACTGAATTAATGAACTAAGAATGCTAACAGATTGTATTGAATCTGCCTTGACTCAGTCCTTCCCTTAAGGGAGGGACATGTTAATGAGCTTTAGTTTTTTTTTAAAGTTTTTGGCAGATGACATTAAGGTTGTATAATTAATGATTAAATTATACAAAGTGCTGCTTCAGAAAAATATAATGCTGGCTTCATCAATAATTCAAATAGACAGAAACAAGAATATGCTAGGAACTGGACTTATTTTATAAATACTGCTGCAAAGTTTATATTAACATAACAGAAATATATATTATTTGTCACGTTTTTGTCTAACAACACCAGATTTACATTTCAAGCTAAATTACAGAGCAATTGACTCATAAAATTTTGGAGAGAGTTGATCATTTTTGCAAATAAACCTTTAAATAGCAGGCTGCACGGTGGTGCAGTTGGTAGCATTGGGCCCGCCTTGCAGGAAGAAGGTCCTGGGTTCGACTCCCGGCCCGGGGTCTTTCTGCATGGAGTTTGCATGTTCTCCCCGTGCATGCGTGGGTTCTCTCTGGGTACTTCGGCTTCCTCTCCACAGTCCAAAGACATGCCTGTTAAGTTAATTGGTCTCTCTAAATTGCTCTTCAGTGTGTGAATGAGTGTGTGCTTGGTTGTGTGTTGCCCTGCAATGGACTGGCGATCTGTTCAGGGTGTACCTCGCATCCTGCCCACAGACTGCTAGAGATAGGCACCAGCTTACCTGCGAGCCACTATGGAAGAAGCAGTATAGAAGATGACTGACTGAAAGAAAGATCAGTGCCATATTTTCAAACACAGCCTTCAGCGTAGAGATATATGGAGGTTTAATAAGAATATTTTCTTGTTCATTTGGGTTTTCCTAGCTGTGACCTGTTATTGTTTTTGTTTATTAAACTGGTAGTGACACCATGTAACTTCAGACAGACTGAGCAATAAGTGTATTATACTACTCATTGAAAATAAAATTAAAATAGAAAGACATTCAAATTGCAAAATAATAAATGCACATATAATACTGGACCAACACCTCACAGCATGGTTACAGTTATGGCTGTGTTAATTTCAGTGCCTTGGCTATTGTTTGTATAATCTTCCCCTCAGCTTCAGGAGGCCGGCCTCCACAGTTGTACAGTAACTGAGCCTGCAGCTCCATAGCAGGAGAGGAAACTGCACATCCGTTTCATACCGCTTCACATACCCCTAGTGAGTCATCAACCGTTCACTTCAATTCACCCCGTCTCAGTCGATGTGCTTTGCATGTGTCCAACACCATCAGCCCCCCTCCCTATCATCTTACCACCTTCCCAGAAACCAACAGCTGAGGATTGCCAGGTCCTCAGCCCCCAGATGTACTGTATGCTGCCAGAGCATGGTAAGCCCATGCAGCGTGGAGTGGTGGGGGTCTGAGGCGCTGCCTGTGGCCTGGTGCCACACCGGGCTTGGTTATTATCTCCAGATGACTTCAGCATGAGTAGCAGATGCCTTTTTGGCCACAGGGGCCAAACAGAGTGATACATAGAGGAAAGTGAGTTCATGTGTGTGTGCACGAGTGTCTGCATGCTGCTCACGGCTGCATTGAGCAATTTATTACCTTCTCACTTATCGGACCATCTCCCTCGCTGTGCTTGGAAGGAGTTAGTCTCATTACAAAATAACAATCCTCTCACACAGCAACAGTCTTGCACAGACTTGGAGAGACGCATAGATGAACCATCTGATAGCTCTAGTTATGTTAAGATAAAGATGCTAGCAAACAGATTAAAAATAAGTGGACTTCGAAATGAGATTGCAGCAGCGAGTATATGTATGTAAATGCATCTGTACTTGAGCCTCAGTCTGTTAGCAGGTCTATCAACTCAGTTATTTTACAGGCCTCCTTCACAGCAGCTAATAACATACAAGCAATCCCTGCACAGCTCTGACCAATTTAATAGGATAGTGTCAGGAAATGATATTTCTAATCAGACCGCGGCAAATGTCTCCTTTTATTAAAGTGGGGGTGTGTTTCCTTTCCGTCTCCTGTCTGTGTTTGGAGACGTCTACCCAGCTGATAATGGCCTCGGCCGTCCTGGTGTCATCATATTAAAGCACTGAACCCCCCTCCCCCTCCCTCAATACCAATTCCTTCATTTTCTTCCTTCTTCACTCAACTCCAGTGAAAATGGACACTTGTGTTGATCTTTTTTTTTTTTAAGTGTTGAATACCAATGTGTCTTGTACCTTTTGGAAGAATATTGAATTCCTCCGAGGACTCAGGGCCAAGCAGCTGTACCTTTATAAAAGCAGTCGTCCTCGCTGCTTTTTTTAAGCTGCGTCTTTTTATGTGGTGGTGATAAAGGAATAAGAAAATCAATAAGGCATAATTGTTTTGAACTGTAACTCATCAGCACACTCCAAAAAGACTTATCCTAGAGAACATGACAATATTATCTTGCTGTGTCGATGGTATTTGAGCTGTGGGAGGCACCATTTATGGTGGTTTTCAGTAAATACCCAGTTTTTGATAGCTTAGTCATTCTTTTTAGTGCAGAGACTAGATCTGTGCAGAAGCACATAAAAACGTTTAGATTGTTTGAAAAAGAAAAACAGTAATTTCATTGATATCACCAAAAAATGTTACACAATAATTTAATAAATTTTTTGGATGCATGAAGTGTTCTTGGTATTTTAGCAAATCACATTTTGTAAATAAAAAGAGTGTAAAGAATGGATATGTGTGACTATAATATTATAATGGACTATAATATCATATTTGACATTACAGTACTGATAAAATGATTTGATTAAATACAAACTAATCTGTCAATTAATTATGAATCAAAAGTCTTCATGAAACCTTAATTACTGCTGCCTTTAAATGTTTAACTGCCTCATCGCAAGTGTATTTATGGATTTTGTTAGGGCTTGCGAGATAGAGGACCCCGGAATGCAGACTAGCAGGCAGCATGACGGTAAGTGCAAAACGATTTAATAAAAAACAAAAACCTCACTCTCAGAAGAGGGAGGAAAAAAACAATAAACGGACAGGCAGGACAGTCTTGGCATGATCCACAAAACAAGACGTGAGCGGCGAGGACCTGGCGAACCCTCAGAGGCTGAAGCGGCGCCTGCGGGGTCGCCGGAGACAGGAACAGAGTCTGGGGAACCCTCGGTGACCAGAACAAGGAAAAGCTGCTCCTTGAACTCCCCAGAGACAGGATCCGGCGGTGCTTCCTCCTCGAAACCCTCGTCTATGGGTTCTGAGGCCTGAACGAGGACAAGCTGCTCCTTGAAGCCCTCAATGACGTGAACAGGGTCCCGGGGTGCTTCGTCCTCGAACCCTTCATCAGGGGATTCAGGAACCAAGACAAGGACCAGACTCTCAGAGAACCCCTGCAGACTAGGAGCAGAGGCTGAGGCGTCGCCGAGACCCTCAGTGGCGTGAGCAGAGGCGTCGCTCTTACAACGTCCTCTGCAACGTGTGGAGGAGGTTGAGGCAGACTTGGGGTCAGGCGTCATCCCAGGCTGTGGTGTGTCAGGCCGTGGACCTGACATTGGCTGCTCTGCAGCAGCGCTCTGGAGACCTGACGCGGACTGAGCTGCAGCACCGCTCATGTGGCTTGGTGTGGGTGAAGGAGGACGGCAGTAAAACTCCCTTACTGCCGTTTCATAATCCATCTCCATCTGCCTGATCCTCCACCAGCTCAGGAGAGGAATACATGAGGCTGGTCGTCCTGAAGCTCTTTATCTGACGTGCATAGAACTTTAACCGCTGCTCCAGCTCGTCAGGTATTGCCTCAGAACACCGGGCTGGAGCGAGCGAAGACGGCATGGACGGAGCTGCGGCGAGCCTGGGAAACTTTGCTGTGGCAGACGAAGATGCGGGAATACTTGCCGCAGCCCTCACGTCGGCTGGCAAGGAAACCACCTCCTCGCCAGCCGAACCGCAGGAAGGTGCTCCGCGCCGACGTTTCTTGTGGCGGGAGGAGGCCGAAGACTTCACTGCCGGACCAGAGTGCGCAGCCAGGGGAGCAGGCGGAGAATGGCGCTGAACCGTCTCACGCTCCATCTGCTCCAGCAGCAGTGGAGAGGGTAGAACCTCCAGGTCGTTCGGCAGGTGTTTCATTGCCTCCTCCTTCTGCTGCTGGACCCATCGATCCCTGGCGCTCTCCTGCCTACTGTCCAAGAGGTCCATGCGTGGCGGAAACATTCTGTTAAGGCTTTGAGCAACGGAGGAACCCAGAATGCAGACGAGCAGGCAGCGTGATGCTTAGTGCAAAACGATTTAATAAAAAAAAAATTAAAAAACTCACTCAGAAGAGGCAGGAACAAAACAATAAACGGACAGGCAGGACAGGCTTGGCATGATCCACAAAACAAGACGTGAGCATGATTTGGCAACAAGACATGATTTGAGAAATGTTTCCGCGATGAATAAC